TTCAAGATGCGTTATCAGATAGAAGTAAGAGATGTAATTGATAGCATAGAAGTTGTATTTGAATAAGAAAGATTGAGCTCTATATATAGAGTCTCAAGAATTACATTGGATCAAATCTCTAAGAGTAGCCATGCAAGGCATACTGGACAATAGAGAGTACTACAACAAAAGTAAGTAAAGAGTTAAACTAAGTAAGTTAGTCAGTAACAGAACTGCGGTTGATGATGACTTCGGATGAGGTTGCTGATGAAGATTGACTGCGGATCCTTGAGAGCTGCGGTAGCTCAAGTTCAAGAGGGTCACTTTTATGATTCAACAGCTTTTAAATAGGGTGAAAACCCTAAAAATTAGGGTTTGTCCTCTCCATGCGAACGCCTGACGTCCATAAACTTATGCTTGGTGTTCCAACGCCTAGCGTTCCATTCCCAACGCCTAGCGTTTGGACCAAAATGCAAAGTTAATACAAAGCAAGGCCAACAATGCAAATACCCGGAAACTGGCATTACACAAAACTTACATTTGAAGAATGACTCGCAACCTTACACTCCTCTTAAAATTCAAGACTCCTTTACAAGTGCTCTAACAAACCCAACATAACAATGCAATTCTCTTATCGGCTGACGATTCCTGAGCGTGCACTGTTTGTCTTTCTTTTTTTTCTCTCTCTCTCTCTCTCTCTGTATATATATATATATATATATATATATATATATATATATATATATATATATATATATCCCTCTCTCTCTCTCTTCCTCTTCCAGACTTCCGGTTCGACCCTTGGAATCAATTTCTCAATCTACGACGAAGACACCCGATCTTCTCAAAATAGGGTAGAAGGTTCATCTCGTGACATGATCTCCATTACGACCATTGAACCGAAGAATAATCAATCTAGAACATCCTTATGCTGAAAGACGGAAACAATTTATAGTGAACCAAACTTTACCCGTTGCGGTAGAAATCGATGTGGAGGACATCATCCATTTCTTCTATCCATAGACTGATACACATCCGATATCTTATCCCTCAAACATGGGAGGCTAGAAGAATATAACCCTATTGTAGAAAATGAAATCCCAAATGATCAGCTGACCATCCAACCTTAGGCTGCAATCTTCGAGTCGATCATCACAATCACTTTCTACATGAGTCCTGCGACTCAAACTGGCACTACTTCGAACAAGGCACCCGAAACTTCAGGACCAACCCACTTGCACATGTTTGCACCCTTCAGACACAATGTGTCATGGCCACTTAGGCTCAAATAACTACCAGACACATCCTCATCCCGAGTAACCATAACCGAAAGACTGAGAACACAAAGACGAGGTACAACTAACCCTAGTTCTTTACCACACTATATACCAACAACCATCCCCTAACAGCCTTGTGATTTTTCCTGATCCTTATACAGATCCTATGCTTCCAGTAGTACGGGCTGATACTACCTTCCACACCTATCCGTATTTGTCTCAGGAATCTTCCAAGAGTTCTAGGCCATAACACTCGGCCACAACTAGGTGTACTAAAACACACTTATAAGCTCATAAAATATACAACTAAACTTCCTAGATTTACATCCTAGGATTCTCCTCGACTACGCTCCAACACCGCTAGAAGTCTTTACTAACACCACTAGTAGCCTCGTGCATGCACGTCGTAAATAATGTAGAATCAGATAAGCAGTCGAATAAATGATTCTACCTTAAGCCCACAACCAAAAAAAAGGAACAAGAAATAAGGTTAAATCAAGCATTCTAGGCCTACATAATCCTAATCATGCACAACTATAAAGCATAGACTTAGCAACTAACAGTACCAGTCTAAACTTCATGTAGTACACAACAAGAAATCTCTTAGGTTACAAGGCATCACAAAATCAGGAAATTCTAACATGCAATTCCTGAAGGGATCCTTAGCCTATCCACTAGCATGCATTTCTAACAATTCCCATATCAGTAGATACATAACAAGTGTGAATATTTTAGGAGATCACTCTCCTTTGAGCTTTGGCTGACTATACACATCACATATTATTTTCTCCTTTTAAAATCATTATTTTCAAAAAGGTTTGTAAAAACTATGATATCCTTAGTTTGAGTTTGGAATCACACAAGTGTTCATCCAAATCCCTCAAACCAGGGCTCTAATACCAACTTCTAACGTCCCAAATTTCATAATTTTTTTTTTCATTTTTAAAATAGAATAAACACCCATATACATAAAGATATAATCAATGTAAAACCATTAGTTCATAAATTGTAATCTAAAATCAGAGTTACAAGGAAAGCAATGCGGAATCTCGGATCATAAAACTGTTGATGTGTGTGTATAGTCTCGCCTTCGCGGCCTGATAAGTATTTGGAAACATTAAATCCACAACTATAATCCAAAGCTTAGTGAGTTCCCCAAAATAATCCACACAACAATACACATACAAATGCATGCACACAAGGCCTACAATACAGGGTTGGACCGCCACCTTGGCCTTCAACGTAAAGTTGGACCACCCACCTTGAGCCTACAACATAAAGTTGGATCGCCCGGGCATCTTGGCCTTCGGCACACAGCTGAACCACCTTAACCCACACATAACATGTCAACATATGCATATAGACAACAAATTACCCAAACAGACACCACATGTAATTATAAAAAATCTAACTGCCTAACAGATCACTACATCATACCAACATCCTAACATACAGAGGATCCATTATGTAGTACAAAGCATAGTAAGAATACTCACCTGAGCTAAATAGTAGAAGCTCAATAACAACATCAGCAACATAACAGCCGACACAAACTTCCTAATACCAAACCGATACCAGACCTTAGTTAAATACTCAATTCTACCCAAGTTTGACCAAAAGTCAAACTGGTTAAAAAGTCAATGGTCAACGGTCAACCAAGACACGTCATCGCGTCATGGTCAAGCCCTCGACCGCGTCATCGTCCTGACATCAGATCGCGATAGCTTCCTCGCCACTGCGTCATGGCCAGACCTATGTTGCATCGTGATCTCGCTGATGAACAACTTAAAATGATCATAACTTCCTTGTTTCAAATTCGTTTTTGGTGATCTTTATATGCACATGAAGGTATTAACAAACCCCAGAATCATATCCATTTTCTTCTGACTTAAAAAATACCAAACTAAATTCATTAATTCATATAAAGAGTCTGAAATATCAATTTTTTCAATTTTACCCTTTTTGGCTCCAAAACACAGTTTAATAGCTTAAATCACTTAACCAACATTATCAGCATATAATAAGGTCTAAACTTTAATCCCTCGAAGCCCAAAACCTTTACTCGATCAAATTACGATTCGTTATCCCGAAATTAGAAACATTCGAAATTGAATGTTACACACAAACCCACTTAATGGGCAAAAATTGCTGATTGACTGCTCATCGATCACCAAGCCTGATTGGCTGAAACCGCCGACTGTTGGTTGACTCTCATTCGCCACCGTCCATGGCAACTCTAATCTTCAACATACAATCCTTAAATAGGGAACCACATGGTTTTGTGCTCTAGACTTGCCATTATGATCACGTGCACCCCCGTGATTTGTAGGGGCAACTATTTTGTAACCAACCATAATCGTTCAAGTCTACACAACACAACGGGATTAAATAAAAAATATATCAAGAGGCTAGTAATAGACCATTACAACAAACTGCAAGCTAAAGTTGTGTTTCAAAGCCAAACAACCTAATTGATTTTAGTTTTCCTACTTCTGTTAGCAATCTAAAAAATGCATTATCCACAACATTATAAAATATAACCGATCTCCTAAGAGGAAATATTCCAAAAGCATGAAAATTTCTGAAATTCCACAAACTCCAAAATGAAAAAAAAAAAAAAAAAAAAATCACCATCACATTAAGAGTATTCATTTGCTTGGTTGTCAAACGCACCGAATCTACCCAAGTGATAAGGGAAGAAAGAGATAGAGGGTCGGAAACCTTCACCACCTCCCTAACCAAAGAGCAGTCATATACATAAAACCGCCAAAGAACACTCTGAGAGGACATGAGCAACCGTGTTCACCATAGACGAGCAACGGAGGACACATAATCTCGGCCATTAATATTTTCATTTAAAAACGACTTGTTTCTCATATTTTTTTAGCAATATTTTATTATCATGTGATCTAGTATTTATATTTGTGTGTATATACTTACAATATTTTAAACTTGTCATGGTTTAAATAGTAGAACCTTTTATAAAATTTTACATCCTAATCATTAAACTCGTATTGTAAAACTAACAATGGAGATGGTAGTAGCTATAGAGGTTATTGCCAAGTAAAAATACTTATTATTTTTTTTTAAATGAGTGTTGTTATATTTATCTAGAACATTTTTTTATTATATTTTTAAAAAGTCAATTAATTTGTCTTACGATAATAATAATTTTAATTTTAGTTATGAATAACTTAAAGTATTGCATGCTTTAAAGATATAATTTCCATGACTTGTTGGTCGTTTGATCGTTTCAACATATATTAGCTAACTATATTATGTATTTAAATTATTAGCGAGGTATAAATGAAAAAAAAAGTGTAAAGTATATATATCTTTTGTCCACATGTTTAGGTGCTTTTGTTTTTATTGGATATAAGAACACTTTTCTTTTCTTTTTTGATCCATAACTTATTGTTTCATAACATTTTTATTGGCTTTAACACTTTTAAATTTGTAAAAATGATTTTATATTTTTATTACCTTTTATCTATTAAAATACTATAAATTCAGTATCAGTGAAATATACTTACTAAATGATAAAAAGCCGTGGCATTTGCCTTCACGTGCACTACCACGTGCATTACAATAGATGACAAATAACGCCGTTAAGTAACTTCAAAACCATTTCAAAAAACACACTCACGCTCGTCCGTTACCGTTAAATGTAACGAAGGTCAACTAGATATTTCTACATTCAAAATTTTAAATAAATATAAAATATTTATCCTATGGAACCCGGTTTTAAAGAACCACAAGAGGATCCGATCCTAATATATCACTGTACTCATGCTGATAGTCGTCTTCGGGTGAAGACGAAGACCCGATACAAAAATCTTTACCCGACCCGAAAAACATGTCCACCGGGTCAACATCATGAAACAGTGCAGTACCCGCTAAGGTTGTCGGGTCGAAAATACTTTGGAAGTCGTAGTAATCGGAGGTGGAGAAATGATCGTCGAACGGCCGGAAATCGGAAAAGGTGTCGGGAACTCCGGTGATATCTGAAGCTTCATGTGATGTGCTGTTGAAAGTACTGTTGTGAGTTGACTCAGTTGCTGACTCGTCGGTTGAAGTTGAGGGGAAACAGAGGACGGATTTTGGTGATGTGATTTCGTTGTAACCGGAGGAAACAGAAACAGGTGAAGGTTTCTTCTCCGGTAATGGTGGAACAGTGAAGTTCGTGAGCGCATCAGGACCACGAAGCTGGATAGCTGCGTTGTCGTACACCATTGCAGCTTCTTCAGCAGTATCAAAAGTACCAAGCCACAACCGGACACGACGCATCGGATCTCTAATCTCCGCCGCCCATTTCCCCCATGGCCGTTGCCTTACGCCGCGAAACTTCTTACCTGAACCGACCTTCAACCGTTTCTCCGCCGGAGCTGCCTTTTTCCTCAATTTATCTCCGGTTTTATTCACCTTCTTATTAACAGTATCACCATCTCTTGATCCAGCTTCAATCGTGACCTCGTTGATAAATTTCCTGACTCTTCGCCGACGAATCTGTTCTGCTTCTTCGTCACCGGAAGAATCAGTGGCATAAGCGTCAGTCACCGACATCCTCACGACTCTACGACCTACAGTGGAGCTATTCACCACCGGAGACTTCCGCCGAGAACATTTTTCCGGTAACAAATTGGTAACCATTGTAACAGTAGTTTTGTGCACAGTACGCTTCTCTGGTGTCATAATTTCTCGATTTTCCACGACAGTTAGCTGCTTAAAATCAATTTATGTGAGATTATCAGATTCGCATTGAAAAGGATGAGAGCGTGCAAAAAGAGGAGATTTCGAGATTCCTTTATCTATAGAAGAATAAAGAGGTTTCTATAAAGCGTGAAGAATACTCGTGGAAGATAGAAGATTAAAGTGGTATTATTAAAATCTGAAAGGAGAAAAAAGCTGCAGAAAACGAACAGAGAAACAAAGAGGAGGAGGAGTTTTCACCGGAGTTGCATTATGCGGAAGAAGCCGGAGAGTGAGTGAAGAGAGTGGACTAGTGGGGAGGGTTTAGGAGGAAGAAGAAGGTTTAGAGAAGGGTAGACCACAAAATTTGCCATTTATAGAATTCTACCCACCTCAATTTTAATTTTACTCATAATTTTTATTAATAAATATTATATTTTATTTTAGCTTTGTTATATATAATCCCAAGCGTTTATTCTATAAAATACTTTATTTTTAATTTTCTAACTGTTTAAATGTAACTTTTATTTCTCATCAAAGACTCACTTTTACCCGTTTATTGTTATTTTAGTCATGGAATCGGTTATTGCAATAACACTTTTTTTTTTCTTTAAAAAAAAAATTGAACTTTAACCTACTCATTGGAATTTCATTAAATTGAGGCACGTGCCCTTAATCATCAATCAACTAAAACAATTAAAAGCATAACCAATTCTAAAAAACTAAGTCATATCATAAGATTGAGTTTGTTTTCGAATGTAGTACTAAGACTATTTTTATAATGTCTGATTTTAATATTGTACTGAGAGTCTGAGACAATTTTACAAGTAAGTTGCTATTCTTTTACCTTTAAGTTCATTGTCCCAAGTATTTATTAATGTTTTATAATAAGTATTAAATTTCTTCTGATTAAATTTCTTCTGATCGATACAGGATATAGACTATCTCTTTCTTTATTCGATTTTTTTTCGGAAAAAAAAAGAAGGGTTACTCAACTTCTCAGCTAGAGTTGGGGGTAATCTTTTTTTGATCAATCGTCTGAACCTGCCTTTCTTTCTTTGCCAGGAGGGGTGGGTCAATCACTAATGGATCTCTCTTCCGCATAAACACAGAAAGGAAAGGCCACAGTCCCAGAGCCTATTCTTTCAAAGAGCGCATTCTCCGCACCCTATTATCTAGCGGCTCTTTCTGTTGCTATAGTATAATAAGAGATAGGCGCCTACCTTAAAGTCACATATCGACACTCAAGCCTGTTCATCTTGGCCACTCATCTGGAGTATGTCACCAGGTCAGGCCTAGCTACCTTAGGACAGTTAGAGTTACTGCAGCTGTTTACCGGGGCTTCCATTCAAAGCTTATAACAGAGATGCATAGAGGAACAGAACGAACTTCATATATCCCTTTTCCACTCAATCCTGAAACAAGATCGGACGTTATTACGGAATAACCAAGTGCGATAAAGAGCAAGCGAAAACCAACCCTTGCATTTATCTTAACAGAGATTACCTTTAATAATGATCTAATTGCAACACTATATGAATTAATGGAAGATTTTGGACGTTAACTTCATGTCGAAAAACCATAACTGAACTTTTTTTTTGAAAAAAAAATAGTTTTAAATAAAAGAAATCAATATATATATATATATATATATATATATATATATATATATCATTATTATATATAAAAACCTTGTTTTTGTAGTGCCGCATACATCAAATTTACATGCTTCTTTGGAAGCCACGTCACATACATTTAAACGACGCTATGGATATCAAAATCGGTTCACATCGTTTCACGTTCCAATGTGACGTATCTGCTTGACGTAACTTATCGCCTATCGGATACATGTCTTCATAATTTCTTCCACACTTCCAGATATACGATCCATGCTCTTCACACCGGTGATTCTCATCAAATCTGATCAAATAATGAGATGTAGGTAATCGATATAGTTTCGGTTCTCAGATGATAATGACAATAAGAAAATATATGAAATTTAAAGTACGAACTATGAGCTAAAATGGTTTTAAAGTACAATTCATTGGTATAGAATTTGTTCCAAAAAAAGGGGACATGACATAAAAGATAATGGATCATTTAGAGCAGGGCCGTTCCATTGATTTTCAATGTCCGGGGCGTGATAATAAATTAATGCCCTTATATATAAAAAAAATTATATTGAAAAACTAAAATAAATTTTATAGTCAAACTAAATCAAGGTTGTACAAACAAAAACATACAAAAAATGATCTAAAACAACGCCTCTATGTAATCTCTTATTTTATGATAATCAAGACTTAATAGAAATTGACTTTCCATACTTAAAACTGTGAATCCGTATAATCGTTCATGAGTGATGGTCCTTCGAAGATATAATTTTAATAACTTCAATTTCACAAAAACTTCTTTCGCGGAAGCAACTGTGTACCAACAACAAAATATTATATGCTACCAACTTATTGAGAAACATATACATTTCTTTTGCAAACTCCATAATTTGAACAATTGTCTAAAGGAGTTCACTTTTTTATGCTTGATCCAACAACATTTCCTGCAAAAGTTTGTAACTCAATAATTAAATCTTGTCCATCATTACCAAGTACATCACCTCTAACAAAACTCCTATTTAAAAACCCATATAACTTATTATTAAGATGTTGTTCTCTCTTTTTTTATTTCTATTTTGAGCACCCAATGCTAGTTTACTAAGAAGCATATTTATACTTAAGAAAAAAAGATTGAAAGAAAAAAGATAGAGTAGAAGCAAAAAAGGATACAACCCAACTTTGGGTATCCTGGCTATCCATAAGTACAACCTAAACAAAAACAAAAAATGGTATCAAATTTTCAGAATTAACATTTCATATTTTCATTAATTAAATTAACATAAAAAACACACCAGTTATTTAAAATCAGAATTCACATATCAGAATTTCAAAATCAGATTTACATATCAACATTTCAAATTTGGAATTTACATATCAATATTTAGCATACATTAGAGTAATAAAAAATCAGAAAAATAATTACATCATGAATATAAGAAAATCTTATTGCAGAAAACCTTATGAAAGTCACAAGAAATTGAAGTAAAAAATTACCTCGAAAATTAATGAGTCTTATAGTAGGTCTGGATCGATAAAACTACAACTTTTATCAACAACTTCACTTCACCGGGTAAGCTATATAAGAAAACTGAAATTTCAGAAATTTTAATCAATCATCACTATCAAATTTTCATAACTTCACGTAGGTTATGCAAGAAATTTCAAACACTAAAAGAGACTTACGGGATTAGGACTTTAGGAGCACTATTTAAAGAACATTATGACATGAGGATCTTCTTTATCAGCCTCCCTCTTGTCCCTAAACAGCCTCCACGAAACCCTAACCCCATTGTTGAGTGTTCTTGATCTTGGAAGGTCTTTTGAGTGCATTTTGGTGTGTTTTGTCCCATTTTCAAGGAAGAGAAGGTTGGAGCAAGGTGGTGGTTCAAGGAGAAGCTTGTAGATCCGGATTATCTGCTCCATTTCTAGCTTGTGCAAGGTATAAAGTCTTGATCTTGATCTTTAGAAGCTTAGATCTCCATGTTTTAACTTTTGGACCCTTTTTGGTCCTATAGATGAGCTCTTGTGGATTGTTTTCGTTTCTAAAGCTTAGAGTTACTAATCTTGGTGTTCTTTGGGTCCGAGAGTCATAAAGTTGCCACCTTTGAAGCTTTAATCCAACCATGTTTGAGTAATGGCCATCTTTATGGAAGTAGAATGTTATACTTCAAGTTTGGGCTCATTTGGGGCATGCAAAGCCACCAAGTTGTCGACTTTATGGGTTAAGACGTTGCAAATGACTCAGATCTGCGATTTGGGACTCTTAGACTTAAGTGGTTAAGAGCTTTTTGGAGAAATGGCTTATTGGGTGAGTACGTTGGGCGTACAAGCTTTTACGCACAGCGTACAAACCATGCAGCGTGTACGCTTAGCATACAGCTGAGTACTCCCCGCGTACTCAGGCAGTTGGGCTTGGCGTTGTTTGGGCCTCGGTTTGGGCCATTTTCTTGGACCTTGTTGCTTTGGGCCTTTTGGGCCATTTGGAATTAAGCTTTTGGATTAAGGAATTCTAGTAGTCCTTAGGGTAAGGCCCATTTGGGGGTTTGGGCCCAATTTGGAAAATTGAGCCAGAAGTGGGCCTTTGTGGATCTTTTTGGTTTTGGGCCTTATTGGTTTATGGTTTTGGGCCTTAGTTTTGGATCAAGCTAGGCCAAGGGTAAAATGGTTATTTTACCCCAAGTATAGATTATTGATTAAAGTTTGGAACCCAAGTGTTGATTGGGTGTTATTTTGTACTGATAGCTCGGGGAGTCGTCAGGACAGCAGCTAGAGATTTCTTTCTGTGAGATTCAGCATTTGAGGTGAGTTTCCTCACTGGGTTTAGCGGGTCTAAGGCACCAATGCCAGCCATTATTGATTATGTTAGGATGTTAGGAGTCTGTGTGAACCTTGCATGTGTTATGTGCTACTATGTATACCGGGCGGGGCTCGATGCCAGGTGAGGCCTGATGTAACATCCTAAAATTTAAGATAAGATTCGTAAATTAATTAAGTAATTGAATAAAGGATGATTTACATAAGTAAGTCATTTAAATGATAACTATATCATTAGTTGAGATAAACCTTAGAAAGTTAAAGGTTAAAATGTTAACATTTCAGAATTAAGCGACCAAAAGCGCCAATTTGGAAAATTATGTTTGACCAAGGATTGACTCAACTAAAGGAAGTGACTAAAAAAAGTTATGTAATGGATGGAGATGGACTTAGGATGTATATTTCTCAAATAAAAGTCACATATATTGGAAGAATGGACCATTTTTGACAAAAATGGAAAATTATAGGGACTAAATGTGAAAAAGAGGGAAATAAGATGAACACTCTCCTCACTTCTCTTCCAGATACGTATGAAGCATTCTAGAGAGCTTCTACTGGCAATTCTTCTTCTATCTTCCA